TAGCGGTGACGTCAGAACGCCGAGCCCTGATTGGCTGATCGCGACCCCCTATCTGAGCGTCGTCTGCTCCTTTGCAACATCGTCTGCTCGCAACGTCGTCTGCGTCTGTCTTACCTTTCCTGCGACTTTCGAAAGTGCAGAGTCCAGAGGCCAGAAGTTCACAAAACGATCTTACGCCAAAAATATGCGTAAGACAAAACTTGAGAACAAATCCGTATTCACGAAACCAGATTTCCGTAAGTTTTGCGCAAATTACGACGAAATCCTACGACAGCTCCGAAGCTGTCTTACGCACTTCTTACGATCAAATCAGCATGGCCGACAGCGTTGCGGTCGCGACGACCAACGGACGTTTATTTTTCTACGTGCGCTTCTCACGCGTCCCGACTTCAAGCAGCAAGAAAAAATTAAAAAGCATTTGAAACAGACCACGACGAGCAAGAACGCTGGATACACAAACACCCGAGAAAAGCTCCAACGGCCACGATTCCACCGACAACGACCAAGCGAGCACGGCAGATAGGCCTAGCAGGCACTCCGACTCGGCAACCGTCTGTCCACGACCGGCTGACGTGCTGAATGGAATATGCCCGCGCGACCCTTGTGAACCCTTCGCGTCTTATACTTTGATCGCTGACCTCAATTTTACATTAAGAGGTCAATTTCTTAGTCTTGTCATCTCCTTGTTTTCCGAGGCAACGGTGACTCGCCGGTAAAAAAGCGGTGAATCTCCGACAGACGCAGAAAAGGTAAAGCAGCCATCACTTTGACTAGCAGACGTAAAGCAGACGACGTTAACCGCGCCAACCGCCGACGCCGTTAAGGAGTGAGGAGTCTCGCCGCACACGAAAGGAGGGAAAAAGTATTTGGGAGGGAACTTGCGTACACTAACCACCCTCACCTCTCGGTTCTTAGCAAACAAACCTCGGCGCCTCGGGACACCTCGCCAGTGAGTCCTTTGACTTCCCTCCTTGATGCGCGTCTGCTCGTTGTTAAGGGCCGCCCACACTAGCGAGAAAACGCGCGTGGCACGCCGATCGCGGCAAGTAACAAAATGTCGCCGAAGCACAGTCAGCGCCACGAGCGCGTGCAGAGACACGCCCTTTATCTTCCCGCTTAACCGATTTATCGGCGCGCCGGGCGCGTTTTCTCGCTAGTGTGGGTGGCCCTTTAGACAAAAACAACGTACCGCTCGAGTTATTTCGTTTGCCCTCTCTTAAAGGGATACTTCAACGAAATTTGAAATATTCCCGTCGTGTTCAAAAATAGGTTGAATATGATCCACAATATCCGGAAATGACTATCGCACGTTTGTATTTTGAGCGTGGTGGCTGTATTTCTCGTTATAAACGGCCCACTCTGGCAAGCGCTCGGAGAAAACCCAGTGGAGACCACGTGACATCCAACGCAATCGTGACGTAGGTCGTCTCAAGACGAGCAAAGCTACGGCGAGGCTGACGTCGAGAGGATGGCCTAGTCGTTCCAGCCACCGAAGCGGCTGCTTTTGTACGAATTTTGAGTGACGGGTTAATCTTCTGTAATCTTGTAGGGGGACAATAGCGACTTCTGCGACACACAAAAGGCATTCTCGGGAAGAGGGGAGTTCCTCCTGCCCCTCTTCTCTCATCGTGGCCGGAGACGAGGCAACCTCCGTCACTCGCTGTCAAGGTTCCTAGACGGGCATTACAAGCGAGGCGTTAGCGACATCCACCATGCTCTTTGCTAATCGTTTAATTCGTTTTAAAATTCCTTTTCGTGACTTTTTTAACAAGATATTGGTATGGTCGATGTGATGCTGCTTTTTGAACACATATACACCAAAAAATGAGCGCCGAAATTTCGTTGTAGTATCCCTTTAAAGGGATACTACAACGAAATTTCGGCGCTCATTTTTTGGTCTATATGTGTTCAAAAGAGCAGCATCACATGGAACGTACCAATAAAATAAATAAATAAGTCTCGAAAGGGAATTCTAAAACGAATTAAACGATTAGCAAAGAGTACCTGGTGGATGTCGCTAACGCCTCGTTTGTAATGCTCGTCTAGGAACCTTCACAGCTAGTGACGGAGGTTGTCTCGTCTCCGGCCACGACGAGAGAAGGGGGGAAGGAGGAACTCCCCTCTTCCCAAGAATCCCTTTTGTGTGTCGCAGAAGTCGCTATTGTTCCCCTAGAAGATTATAGAAGATTAACCCGTCACCCAAAATTCGTACAAAAGCAGCCGCTTCGGTGGCTGGAACGACTAGGCCATCCTCTCGAAGTCAGCCTCGCCGTAGCTTTGCTCGTCTTGAGACGATCTACGTCACGATTGCGTTGGATGTCACGTGCTCTAAGCTGGGCCTTCTCCGATCGCTTGCCAGAGTGGGCCGTTTATAACAAAAAATACAGCCACCAGGATCAAAATACAAGCGTTCGATTGTCATTTACGGATATTGCGGATCATATTCAACCTATTTTTGAACACAACGGGAATATTTCAAATTTCGTTGAAGTATCCCTTTAAAGGCGAAGTCGAGTTCGCTCCGAAAGTCGCAGGAAAGGTAAGACAGACGCAGACGACGTTGCGAGTAGACGACGTTGCAAAGGAGCAGACGACGCTGAGATAGGGGGTCGCGATCAGCCAATCAGGGCTCGGCGTTCTGACGTCACCGCTACTTCTTTTCTCATGCGCAGAAGACGAAAATGAGCCCACTTGCGAGGCGTATTGTTTGCAAGACATTAAACCGTCGTTTCAGATAAGAAGCTCCTTTATTTTTTTTATAAACTTTTGGCAAATTTAATTGGTGTGTCACGTGACTAGGGAGGGTTGGAGGGGGAAGGGACACAGGTTGGGGGGGGGGGGGGGGGGGGAAGAGGGCACTGTAGGATGGTGGGGGAGGGATCGGGAGCAGGAAAGAGAAGAAAGGAGACAGAGATGAGAAGAGAAAATCAATGTGTTGCTTGACGTAAATTTCCCCCTTAAATTTAGCGGGCAAACTGAATTGGTGTCACCTTACTAGGAAGGAGGAGAGGGGAGGGGGGTAGGGGGGGGGGGAGGATTGAGCGAGGGAGAGCTAGGGAATCGGAAGTAGGTGGGGATGAAGGGGGTTGGAAGAGGGAACGAGGGGTAGGGAGGCGGTTGGGCAGGACACCCTACAAGGGAACTGGAACGATGGGGAGAGAAAGGGGGGGTGGAAGAGAGGAACGGGATAGGGAGAAATGGGAGAGATAGGATCTGTGTTTTACTTGACGTATATTTCCCCACTGAATTTAGCGGAGAAACTGAAGTGTTGTACAGGTCTCGTGACGTCAATTCCCCCCGTAAAACTTTTCGTGGGAAAACTGAATTGTACACGTCACATGGCGTCGATTTCCCCCGCTAAATTTAGTGGAAAAACTGAATTCGTACTTAGGTCACGGGGCGCCAATTTCCCCGCTAAATTTAGTCAAAAATGCACAGACGGATGAAACATTTTTTTTTATCGAAAGGTTTCGTCAAAATTATTCTTTAAAAAAATGAAGAGAAGAACGGCTTCATGGTGCACCACTTGACCATCTCAAGTAAAAAAAGAGCTTGACTACGACCATTAAGTCACACTCACGCTGTGCATACGTCATACCAAAGACACAGTGTTGCTGGCAGACACGGTGTCAGAAGTATCTGCGTTCACGTCTCAAGCATGTCTGCTTCATATATATGCATCCTTTGAACGTCTACAAATAATTCTTGTACGACCAATAACGACAGGACCGTCGTACGAGGAAGAATCCCGCCTCAAACAGCGTCTGTCTGCAGTGTCTTTTGTAAGATGCATTAGCGGTGCGAACGCGGTTTGATATCGTTGAATGCCTCGAGCCCTCGACTGTCATCGCTAGTTTGCACTGCGCGTTCTTTCTGTTTTTTTTTTTTAAATTTTATTTTTGATTGACGTGCCCCAGCCTGCGTTCCGATGCGCCAACGACGCATTTTGGCGTGCTTGCTCGCCGTATAGGACACGAAAAGGGGATGCCAATATGTTTGCTTGCTACGTAATTCTTTCATTTTGTCTCGCTTTTCTTTTTTTTTTTTTGTACCTTGACGTTACAGATATAGCTTTGTCAGCCTATTAGCTGTGAACGGAATATGCCATGAGCAAGTGCTCCAAAACGCGTCTTTGGTGCAGCGAAACGCGGGGAAGTGGGGGGGGGGGGGGGGAGGGGGGGGGGGGGGAACCCCGATAAAAAGTTAGGGCTTTACATCCCTTAGTGCTTTAGTTAGTGCCGGTAGTGATTTATATCAGGAGAGAAACAAGAACACGGGGACGTATTTGGCAGGTAAGCAAACGCACGAGGTGCACAAAGAGCAGACGAACTTGCTCGCCGTATAGTATACGAGGCTCGTTCAAAATTGACTAGCACTAATAAAAAAAGAAGGAAATGAGATATTTGGCAATAGGGAAATTTTTAACGGTACTCCCCGTGCGTATCCAGGCACCGTTGCCGTTGTTTTAGCAGCTTTCAAATTCCTTTGGCGTAAAGAGAACTGGACTGCGTGCACCGCCGTTGGTCGAACGTCTACGTACGGTTAATTTGTCACCGGTTGTCGTCTTTCGCCAAGAAGTGTCGACACCATTGGTACCCTTTTGCCCGTGACACCGGTCGTTACCGGTACTGTGCTTGCAATATACTCAAAATCACAGCTGGTTTAACTGTTTTCCTTCGCAAGAAATTTGATTATGTACCGCTGCTCCACAGCGGCGTACACATTGTCCGCCACATTTGTAGCTTGAACTCATGCGCATGCGTCAAATACGCTAGTCCAGGCAAAGAATAATCAAGAAGGATGTTGTTAACGTCGTCTGCAAGTTTCATCGTGCTACGGCTGGTCAGCAAGTTATGCACAAACGTCCCGGTTAACGATCCTTGTCTGGATTCGAAACCAACAGATGACCGAAATGGGCCTTGTGCCGTGAGCTATGTTTTTTTTTTTTTTTTGTTTTTTTTTTTATAATGTAACCTGTAGATGTCCACGTTGCCTTGCAGGAGAATGAGGATATCACGGAAACCCCCTCTCCCAGTCAGCTGACAAGTAAAGAAGCCATGGCCAAAGCACTGTCCGATTACACAGCGGTGAGGATTTTTTCGTGGGCTCTCGGTGCTGCAGCAATGTTTCTCGTGTGCAGAAAATAACAGAGTTGTGCCTTCTGCGTCATGATCTCAACGGGTGCTTATATTTTGTGACCTGATCTCATCTGCCCGTAGGTGTTCAGTAAGCTAAGATCGAGATAAACTATCTCACTTACATCCTGTTCACGGGCTGAAATTGTCAATCAAAAACCTGTTTTTTCTAACAAGAGAAATTTAAAAAAAAATCTTTCAGCCTTTCTACTTTGGGGAAAGAAGGAAGACCAGCGGAGCTGTACAATGGAAAGTAATGGCCGGCCGCAAGTCGGCAAGCCAGAGTGGAAAGGCTGCCGCCATCTAGGAGCAAAGGCGGCAACCAGATACGTGGCTTGCCGCCGTCGCTCATAGATGGCGGTAGGTGTCCAGAGTTCGGTGTCTTCATTTCTTTGCGGAGGACACGATCCTGGGAAAACTAGCCCTTAACAGCTCCGCTGTAAAAATATAGTAAGATTGAGAGTGAGCATAAAAGAAAAGAAAACGTTTGGTGTCACTCTCTTGCTTTAAATCTCTACCACGAAAAAACATAAACAAAAAAGAAACGGCGTATTTAATAATTTAGTCATCTCACTGGAAGGATGCCCATACGGGCTGCGATCGGTTTTTCCTAATGTTAATATTTAAAATAGAAGCGACTATTTCTGTAATTATTATTATTTTTGCAGGCAGTTCAACCCCAGGGTTCCATTCCAATTATCTTACTTCTGGTGCTGGTTAAGGTAAGTCCTGCGTTTCCTCAAGGTCTGGAAACCTCCGGAGTATTGTCGTTGTTCAAGCTACTTGGAAATGATGCTTGATCAGTGGTTTCCAAACTGTTAGGCCACGGATCCCCAGGGGTTCAACTCACGCTGATTCAAGAACCGCAGGCAGAAAGTGGCAGTCCTGACATCTTTGCAGACAAAGTGCTCACAATGTCCTCTTAGTGGTTTCTAGTTGACCAATGCGTTCTTAATAACCGCCTTCTTCGAGGAGGCTTTCGGATATGTTTCGTGTGGCATAATGTGAAAGACAATAAGCTAGGATGATAGGCGTGTTTTACCTTTATCAAAAAAAAAAAAAAAAAAAAGAAAACTAAAAAGACGTGAACAGTTTTTTTTCTTTTTTTTTAGAAACATGGGAAGACATGAGACATTCAACACCTCATTTCAAATTTTGGGGCCTACAAATTCAAACAGACTGGCGAGGAAGGCAGGCACGCTTCGACTGCGTGAATGTTCGAGACGTTCAAAACTTTACTGCCCAAAACAAGTCCTAACAAGCCCCTTTTTGCAAGGACCCCTGAACAAAGCAGGCCTACACCAACCCCGCCTAGAAGACAAGGCCGTAGTGCTGACATTTTTGCGTCCCCAGCGAAGGCCAACGCTGGCCACAGATTGGAAACGAGTGCTGCGTCAGGGCTCGGCTTACAGTCAAGTTTGAGCCGAACGTTGGCGCAATCGTGTCCAATCTATGACCCTCGTTGGCCTTCGTTGGTGACGACATCTTTATCAGCACTACGGCTTTGTCATCTACACACGCGCGCACACGCGTACGTAAATGCACGCACACACACACAGGCACACACCTGCGTACAGACTCACGCACGCACACACACGAACACACGTACACGCAGTAATGTGCGACATTGAATCGGCGTATAGTGCCTCCGGAGTCGTGCAAGGTCCCAACGATTTCAGCGAAATTTCTTAGCAGCCTCCCGGCGGGACGCTGATCCGCCACACATCGTTTTTTTTTATTTTTCAGGCGATGGTGCTGGCCATGTACAAGCAGTACGTGGACGCGGAGGACTGGACCGCCAGCATCAACACCGAACAGACACCGTCGTCGTGGTCCCGCACAACAGTCGGCAACCTGCGGCTGCTGTACAAGGAGCGGCGCAAGTCCCTGAAGTCCGTCCAGGCGCTGGCGTACGCGCAGCAAGAGACCGACAAGACCAGTTCTCCCGCCGTCGCCCAGCCTCAAACGGAAACCCCCTGGTTGCCCGCGGGCCTTCCCTGGCTTCCCAGGGAGGCCTCGACGACGGGTCACGAGCTCGAGGAAGGGCCCAAGTCGCCGGACACGCCGCCGCCGCTGAGTCCGCCCGAGTCGCCCGTCGATTTGCCCGGCACGTCCCGTGTGTCCTGCCGCGAGCGCCGGAGGTTGCGTGATCCAACGGACGCCAAGTCCCGTTCACCGAGGGTGTCTGTTGGTGGCTCACCCGAGATGTCACGAGGGCAGCCGAAACCCGGCATGCGGTCATCTTGAGCGTGTGCACGACGCTTTATCAACTGGAATTGGGACAGCTGTGCGGTCGGGAGATAGGAGAGATGTACTCTCTATGCCGGAATCTAATTTTTAGCGCGGTGTTTCTGGACGTTTTACGTTGACCTTCACCGCCGCGAGTAAGTGTGTCACTGATGTTCTTTGTCTTCGGTTCATCATCGCTTTATTTATGAACGAATGAATAGTTAATGCATAAACAAATGTTAATGATATGCGCAGATGGCGAATATTTATCTTTAGTTGCCTGTTTTTTTGCTGTCGTTCTTTTTTAGTCTTCTGCTGTCGTTCTTTTCTAAAGTCTGCCAAAGACAGACTTTAGATAGTGTTCCCGGTTTCACCTTCTCTTTTGGATTTACGTTCGTCAAATTCATTGTGTTATTGAGCAAAAACATTTCGAAATAAATGACCAATTATTAATCTTAAAGGGCGCTCAAGTGGTATCTGAGGTCGTCTATTTATGGTGGTACTTCAATTCACGTTCTCTTAGCATTCTAAAAAGAAAAACAAAACAAAGCGAAATTACACTCATGGGCGACCAATTCGCTTATTAAAACAAACAATCAAAAAGATCGTGACACGCCCGTCCTTCTACGTCTTGGAGCAGACACCAGGGGGCGCCGTCAGACGGTGTCTTCAAACAATAATTGCTGTGTCACGTCTCCTGCATCCGAAGATTTGACTCTTTTGTCAAAATACAATGCACAACGTGCCCTAGAAGAGCAATAATAGTAACGTTCTGAATGTCCACGCAATTAACTACTTGTATTAGTAAAATGTTATTGAGGTGGTGGAGACCTGAGGATGACCCCCTTCCCCCCCCCCCCCCCCCCCCCACACACACACACACACACACACTTTCCTCCCCCCAAAAGAAAATGGTGCCCGAGCATTTCTATTGCTGTGAGTTTACTAGGGCGTCTTGCCATGTAGAACTGGTTGTTTTATTGACTAGAGCCTAACAAACAATATGCTACCAAAAACAAACTTCCACATAAAGCACTTACTTGAGTGCCCCTTTAAGTTAACGTGCTGAATAGACGCGACACGCATTTTTCACAATTTCACCGATTCCGTGTCAGAAATGTTTTATGGATGGATGGATGGATGGTAATGGCAATAGCCTTTGTAACGGGCGGCAGCTTGCGCCATCTAGCCTAACATTTGTTATCTCTTCTTTTTTTTTTTCTTTTTAAGTTTGTAAAAATTTTGTATATATATATATATACTGTAAACGACTTAATTTTCGCGAATTGTAGGCGATTCGCGAAAATTGAGTCGTTTACAGTATATATATATTGTTTTATTATTTTTTTTTTACCCTTTCCAGATATTTTCACCCCAACCCCATTGTTTGAGCACCTATTGTTTGCTGTGTCATTTTAACGCCTCTGTCCTACGAAGGCTAAGGCTACAGTCAGGAACACAATCTCAGTTAGCCGCGCGTTTAGAAAGAACCCAGAAGTACTGCGTATTTCAAATTCATACACATAAATTTATTTTTCAATTAAAATTTGCGGCGCCGAAGCATCACAGCGGGCACTGTACGTGTTTCGCGACAACATACAAAATACAAACACTGCGAGAGTACAGCGAAGGCTGTCAGATGGGAGCTATAAGCTCATCTGGAACTTGCTAAAACAGACCACATAGTGGCCTCTCTAACATGACAATCTGTGAAAATGTTTCCCCGTCATTATCAATGCTGGCATTTCAATAGATAACATAGTTTTAGATTCGGCCTCGTGGTTCGCGCGAGATGTGCGTAGTTTATAGTTTTTGTAATAATCATGCATTACTTTTAGCCCCCGATTGGGATAAGTCTGCCAGTCTGTTCAGAATGCGAGAGGCAGTAAGACTGGTTGTATACCTCCTTGCATCGCCATTCGCGCAGCGAGAGAAGTTATTCTACCCCAAAGCATGGCGTCGTATAGTTACAAGTAGGTCTCACTTGAAGAGCTGAACTTCAATTAAAGGTAGCTGATTGCCTAACTGGCTTTCAAAACGAACATCCCGCAGCAGTGATCTATGCCCGCTCATATTGAAAGAAGTGAGAGTCCAGTTCACGATGCCTGAATCAGCAGCGCGACCTCATTAGCGCGGACGTTCTATCGACGCGCTGCGGTTTGTCAACAGTCGGTCACCAACCCCACCCCCCTCCGGCGCAAAACACACACGTATACGCGAGCGCGCACGCACAAGAACGGGGATTATTTGGTGCCGTTTATTTGCAGCAATGTACGTGACCCTTCGCTCCTGTCGCTGTTTTTTGTTTGTTTGTTGGTTTTTGAGCGGGGAAGGAACGACGTAGTAGTAGTGCACGTTTGGCTTTTCCCTTGTGCGGCAAAAACAGCTGCGGTTGGCGCCGGGGCTCGTCAGAGCCTGCCCGGCGTGCTTAGCTATCTCTGCACGCCCGTTGCAGATAAAGGTCCTGGAAACGCACAGCGGCAGCGGATAAGAAGCACGAGACTCGGAGGCCGCGATGAAAAGCGCACAGCGCAGCTGTCTCGCTCTTTACCTGGCTCCTATATCCTCGTGGCCTCGTCTACTATACCTCTTTTCTCGTTTGGGCCCTCGAAGCTACATCGTGCTCCGTAAACTGTCAGGCTGTCACCGAGAAAAAGCTCCTCTTAAACCCCTTGTTACGCTTAAAATAAACGGACACGGAGTGTATCCGTCTGTATGGGCTGGTAAATTGTAACGAAAGAGTTTTAAGAGGTTTTAAGATACGGGGACCGAACGCTTTGGGTACCCGGAGCAGCCTGGGGGAGTCGCATTGCGCATGCTCAGTGCGACTTCCCAGGCTACTCGGTGGAGCGTCAAGGCCGCATTATTCCAAAATTCTATATTTTGTTATGCGTACGTTTTTTTTTTTTTAGGCAGCGGGAAGTTGACCAGCCTCCGTGGGTGTCTGCGGGCGTCTCCGATGTACATCTGAAATTTAGCAGTAGCGCTGCTGTAGCCTGGGGTCTGTAACGTGCGTCACGCAGCAGGGATACGCGACCACACGCCGGTATCCCATGCTCGTCCAGATCAAAACAGACGGGGGTGAGGATTGCACTCAGGATCCCTGGGTTCTTGCAGCGCCGACTTTCGCTCCACGTGCTCCTATGGCTGCGCTGCTCTAAACGGACTCGGCCGCCAATCCCCTTGTAAACGCGGACTCGTGTACACCGCGCAATACTGTTCGCGCGAACTTGACTCGGCCACTTTTTCGCCTCTTACTTCCAAAGGGTAACGGTCATCAAAATGTACCACGTAGGTTAGTTACCCAACGGAGCACTTTCCACCACTAGAGTATAGTGTCGATGACAGACCTTCGATACTGAAAGAAACACAGAAAACTGGCTATGGATTGTTCGCGCTACCTGTGTGTGTGTTCTGCGGCGTAGACTTTACATTTTCCCGGGAAGGGGGGGGGGGGGGGGGGGGCGTTATCTTTTCGCCAGAACTGGAGATTGAAGCTAACGAAAGCACGCTGGAATTCCATTTCCCATGTATTTTTTCAATAAATGCAACGTGGGCGTTAGTTTGTTTACATGCCACCACTTGCGTGTTACATGGCACGTAAACGGGTCCATATCACAAGAGCGAATGACATTTTAGCGAACGGCGACATTTGAGCGAATGGTCGTTTTAGCGAATAACGGGGGCGCGCGTTAACCCATCCGTCGCGCTGCGCTTTACGCCGCTTCGCGGCGACAGTCTGCGGCAACTCATTACAAAAATATGAACTCACTTGGCCCACCCGAAAACGCCGCTTCGCGGCGTCCGACTATTCGCTAAAGTGTCGTTCGATGAAACGTGGGCGTTCGCTAAAACGTCATTCGATCAAGTGAGTGCCTCCCCACGTAAACAGCGTCTCGGTAAGGATGATGGCCCGGGCCCGGGGGGCCTCTGCACCCCCCTCCCTCCCCCCCACCCGGATCTCACCAGGGGGGGGGGGGGGGGCACAAGCCCTGATGCCCCCCCCCCCCCCCCCGAAGTCTACACCCATGTGTGTGTTGCTGCCTTGTCCCGTGTGCTTAAATATCGGGGGTTCCTGTGATGCCCGCTTGTGGAAGACGTGTACATAGCTTGCACCGACGTCCCTTGGTCAGAATATAATGGGAGGGCGCGTGAGCTTCGGCTGCGTTAACGAGGCGCTTCTGGCCACCGGAAAGAGGGGCGGATTGACGTCACGTGCAAGCCGTGTATACCCAGGATGGGAGGCACTCACTTGATCGAATGACGTATTAGCGAACGCCCACGTTTCATCGAACGACACTTTAGCGAATAGTCGGACGCCGCGAAGCGGCGTTTTCGGGTGGGCCAAGTGAGTTCATATTTTTGTAATGAGTGGCCGCAGACTGTCGCCGCGAAGCGGCGTAAAGCGCAGCGCGACGGATGGGTTAACGCACGCCCCCGTTATTCGCTAAAACGACCATTCGCTCAAATGTCGCCGTTCGCTAAAATGTCATTCGCTCTTGTGGGGAGGCACTCACTTGATCGAATGACGTTTTAGCGAACGCCCACGTTTCATCGAATGACACTTTAGCGAATAGTCGGACGCCGCGAAGCGGCGTTTTCGGGTGGGCCAAGTGAGTTCATATTTTTGTAATGAGTTGCCGCAGACTGTCGCCGCGAAGCGGCGTAAAGCGCAGCGCGACGGATGGGTTAACGCGCGCCCCCGTTATTCGCTAAAACGACCATTCGCTCAAATGTCGCCGTTCGCTAAAATGTCATTCGCTCTTGTGATATGGACCCGCTCTTGTGATATGGACCCCATCTCGCGTTTTCCCTGTTTTTTTGTGTTCTTTTTGTTGTTTTTAATCTGTGTTTTTATTTTCGATCGAGCAAATATCACTGGCTCGGCATGTGCTTCGAATTACAGTAACTCCATTCGCTAAAACGTGGATTCGCTCAAGTGACCGCTCTTCGCTAAAACGTCATTCGCTCATGTGATATGGATCCATTTTTGATACTGCCAATACGAATTACCCGTCTTTGCGTGCCAACGTATCGACTAGCACAGCCGTCCCCGCTGGAAACTTTCTTTCCTTTCCTTGACGTGTCAGAAGTGAGGCAAGGCCACTCCAGCTTGTTCGTGACTAACGCCACGAACTCTGATTCAGATTTCAGAACACATACAAAACATTGCGTCAGCCGCGCGGGCTCTCCCGTTGCTTTCCAACGGCACGCCGCATCAAGGCTACACGGTGGTGACTCAGAGGAGAGCATAAGGTCGACAAACTCCACGGTTCTACCAACCCGTCAAAAAAAAAACAAAAAAAACAGCGTCTTGGGCGCATGTTTTGTTGTGATTGCGACAAAATAATTCGTTTCCTACGCAGACTACTGCAAAACAACGCGTGGAAACACGTCGAAACACGTTGAAACGTGCTGCAACGCGAGCGGGCGATTGCGCGACGCTAGCTAGTCGTACCACTCACAGATGGCGCCAGCGGCAGCTGTGCTCGTTTTTCTCTTTCGGTTTTTACTTTCCGGAGCTGCCGACGTCACACCCCCACGGCAACATAAACAAGGGAGCGAATCGCTCGCCGAGACATATCTGCAGCGTTGACTGGCATCGCAGGAAGCACCGTCCGCGTCGTGTATACACGAGTACCTCACCATGTCCGAGAGCCACTTTGACGAGTACGAGCACTACAACTTCGACCAGGACAAGTTCATCTTCGCGGGTCACAGCGGCAAGCAGCGGACGAAGCGAGAGGTGTCCGAACACACGAACCACCACGACCCGAACGGTCACGTTCGGAAGCTAGTCACCAAGATGGTCAACACCGAAAGGAACCGCAAGAACTCGGGTAGTGGCAGACCCTAATCCGGTGAGACTCTCCCCCCACCACCCCCCCAAAAAACAACGTCATTCACGCGTTTTGCGAGAAAAGCCGGTTTGCTACATAGTATCGGTGGCTTATCGCGTTCACGCCCCATGCTTTGTGATGGATTGGTTCTTTGACGATGTTATCGACCACTGCCTTAATCTGATTGGCTGCGAAACGCTAATGAGATGCGCGGAACTTGCCACGCCCTGCGATTACAAGTTGTTGTGACCGGAACGGAACGTTGGGATGAGCCTTGAAAAGGGTTTAAACGCACGTGCGTTTAGGCCATCTGCAGGGTTTATACGCCGTATGCACGGCAAGCAAGGAACGCGGCAACGTTGCGGTATCAGGGGGTCCCAAACTATAGATGTAGAAACGGTTTGCCCTTGGACGCCCTCGTCCTCGCTGACGCAGTTTTCCTACTTTTTGCTCGCTTCTGCTAGCAGCTGTTTCCAAGCTACTCCGCTCACAGCAAATCGCTACTAGCGTTGTTTTCAGTTGCAGTTGCATTCTAACGCAGACCAGATCTACGTCTACGATTCAGCGCTATCTCTATATTATGCGCGGGTGTCAGCTATTTTGTGTTGATCTGGAGGCGTTGTCGCACCGAAAATCCTTGCCGTTGAACCGAAATGTCACCGAACGCGCATTTTGTGGATGTGCTCGTTTCTGGGCCTCATCGAGCGCACGTAGTACGGGACAGGAACCGCTGTCCGTATTATTTTTAGACAACGCCGGCCTCATTTTAGCTATAGCACAGGCGCGCGCTGGTTTAACTGACCTTCATCGGCTTTCTTTATTTGCCTGTGCATTCGACGCTCTAACTCGTTTTGAGTCTTTCGATATATTTCGATTTTTTTTTTTACCCGAAGCGGTGCTTTTGGGGTCAGCCCGCATGCGCAGCAGGTCCCCCCACGGCACGTTACGTAAGAGAACGGGGCTGGGCAGTTTTTTTGTTGTCCGCTGGGCAGACTCGAAAAGTTGTCTGGGTTGGGCTTGAGGAACCAGTTCGGGGAGCGTAAAAAAATAAACTACGAAAATTCGGGTTGTAGCGGAGATGCAGTAAAGGGCACAGCCGGTTTCCGCTCTAGGCGAGTCCTACCTTGCACAGGTGTGCCCTAGCTTCAATGCAACTAGCCCATCTTTTTTGTTTTATCTTTTTATCGAGACAGATGGCGGTTGCGGTGCCATGAAGGTGCCGGGCCATCACACATGTACCGTGCTGTTTGAATCCAAAAGAATTTCGGAGTTTATGAAGGGTTACATAATTTTCATTATCTACAAATTTATCTCTTGATTCTCTCTCGTTGGATATGTGGATATGTCACTATGCGTGCACAAAAGCGTTATATTTGGTGCAGAGTAGTGAAGACGACACTTTGAAATGTGCATTTTCTGAGTAGGAATTGCGCAAAAGGCCCCTTGTGTCCATGTTTTAGCGGCAGAATGCACTAGGTGTCTCATTCAACAATAATCACTGGTGTCGTGACACGAATCTAACATATCATTCCTATGAGGAATTTCCCTGTCACCTGTTAAAAACGATAATCCTCGTGGTTTAAAACTGACGTCGTGGAGCTTGAACGTCACCACGCGTTTACCAGCGACGGACTCTGCTATGGCGGCCATTAGAAACCGCCTTTACCTGCATCAGTATTTGAGGCTAAAGAAAGAAAACACCCTCACCTTCATGTACATTATTTTTATTCGGGTGATCCTGCACATGGCATATGTCGGGTGCCTCGCGCGCATGCACCGTTTCGCCATGGATGGACGTATTGATGCTAATGGCTGTATTCTTTATAATGGGCGCCAGCTTGCGCCGCCTAGTTTAGGGGGTAGAAACCAAAAGTATCATTCCTCCCTTCGCCCTTCAGAGCCAACTTGCTTCCCCCCTGCAATTTTGTAACTATCACCAGGCGGTGTAAGATGCCCTCAAAAAATCAGGCAAAAAAAAAAAAAAATTACCTCTCGCTTTTTTTTTCTAGTGATCGGCCGCCAATTTTCCTCTGCTCTAGTCAAACCTAGTGTGCGCTATTCCAGTACCGGGCCCACAGGGAGACCGGGTTGAGGCATTGGGCCGGAGCCACGCGGGAGGGGTCCCAATTTCCCTCTGTTTCGCCTGTCCCCAGCTCTGTTAGTTAGTTGTACGTCATTCCATTCTCCCTAGATAATTTCCACCTGTCTTTCGGCGTCCTGCATGATAAGTTCCGCCATCCTGCCTGCGACCCTTCGTTGCCAGCTTCCGCGGGCAAGCTGCCAGTACAGGAAGTGTTTCCGTTTAACAAGCTTCCATAAATTCCTTTAGTTCTTGCTGCGGAAGCGCGGAAGGTTTTTGAAGTTTTCTCTTTGGCAACAGCAAAGTGTGTACTGCAGTTAAACTTCATTAGCCTGACCGCGATGCTTTGCACGTACTACGTAAAGTACTGCACGGTGAATAATCGCGACGCACGCACGTCTTAGCTGTGAAGAGGCGTACTTTGGCGAGCCTCTCTCTGACTGGCCTCGAGAATTCAGATTAGCTGACGTGTCTTGCCTGTTCAGTCGTACGGAAGTAAACAAAAAACTGAAAGTTGTTGGGCAAGCTGGCCGCCTTGACTCTTCAATGCCAGTGTCTCTCAAGTCCTTGTTTCGAAATGCCCTTCAAAGCCAGTCAGACATGTGGTTGTGAAAGTGCCGTGTCTCGCTCTTCCGTTTTTCGTGTTTTAGCGTTTGTTTATATTGTATCCCCAAAGGTCTGTTCAGTTTGAAATGTTATTTTAGCCGATTTGTTGCTACGCGGAGTTCAGCTGTTGCACCTGGAAAGCAAGTAAGCTATACTCGAGGAAAGCTTTTGTTTTTGGCAATGCAGTTAAAGGTATAGGCACTCGTGCCCTCTCCCATTTTGAGCGCTGATCAAAGCTCTGCCGGATGTGCGAGCGCTCTCCTCCTCGGAAATACCAAGAAAAGTTTTCCTTGAGTGTACCTTCGGAAGAGTGTCCTGTAGTGTTCGTTGTATGCGCCACCATTCTCTGACCGACTGCTTGTTCTGGGACAAAAGAGAAAATAAATTGTTATTATTATTATTATTATTTATTATTATTATTATTATTACCGGAATCAGGAAGCCGCCCACGGGATCAGACTAAGCGAAGGCGACTGCAACACAGTTACGTTTTCTTTCAAAATTTGCTTCTTCAGTCCCTGCTCCGTGTCATCGGAGTGAGCCAAGACCTCATGTGAGAGAATCTCGTCAAGTGCATCAGCTGCGTAAGCACACTGGAGCTCACAGATCAGTCTGGACCTTCCGCTCTTTACTCGTATGCTGAGCCTATAGCCTAGCCTAATCCCACCAGTGCTTAGGCAGACTGACGCCTAATGTACCATGTAATTTTGAGTAATAAACATAATGACGTCACTACTTCCGTTGAAACTCCCTCCAATTGGACACAGGGCATAAATAAATTACGAGCCAGCTAGTGTTGCATCTATGTCCTGGGACTGGCCATGAATTGTTCTATATGGAAGTGTGGCTCGCTGCATGCAGCGTTTCGCAGTTGCTTATTAGCTTTGCTCACTGTGTTGGATTTCTGTTCTCTCGCAGCGAAAGGAGCCTCTACACTCCTGCGGGGTCCGACGCTGGCCAAGGCACAACTGGTACAACTTTCCCATGGTGCAACCACGGAACGGATTTCAACTGTGATGTTTTACTATAGGACTGGCATAGTGCGCGCCGTGAATGTGCACAGACTCGCTCTTTTTTCCCTCGCTCTACTTACGACGTGGCTCTAAAAGCAAAGCGCCTTCTTCGAAAAGATGGCCTCCCCTGCCCTTTCCACTTCGTCTTCCACGGGACTGCCACGAAACTCGGTGGAGCTACTCGAAGCGATGAGTTCGTTCGGGGATGGGATTCTTCTACTCTTCAATAAAAAGTGTATGTTATCACTTACGCAATCCAGCGCAGCCACACAGTTATCTCAACCGTATACACGGCGACAGGTTTATAATCATTCCCAGCGATGATGTTCAGAGCCGTGCCGGTGCTGTTTCTGGTACTCGGGTAACTTATACGCGCAAACAGAAACGGACACAGAGAAGGGGACGCAGACAAGCGCTTCGCTTTTTGTGCTCAACTTAGTTTTTCAGCATATCCACCAACTAGTCCAGCAACAAGTCTCGTGAAACCATTTCTGACATGTGGCAATCTTCGTCGTTTGGTTCGCAAGGTACCCCGTAATGGCTGTATTGGCTCATTGCCGTTTATGCTATTTGCGCGACGACGTAACATGCTGGGGTGAATTTTGTTTCCTTGACGACTTCGACACACGAGATATAAGGAAGTAACAAGGAAAGTTTCTATTCACGTTTACTAACCACGCGGAAAGCACCCTTGCAAATATGGCGCCAACGTTATTCACCGGCAACGATACGATTGATGCGCCAATGGGCTCGACATGCTGCTACAACTCGCCGAAATGTGACGAATTTGCGCCAACACTGCGTCAAAAGCTAATTTTGTTTCTTCACTTCCTCGTAATAATTCGGGTCTGGGTGCACTGCCAGATCTTTACAGTAAGATGGTGCCTATTTTGGATGATTTTTAATATTGGTTAGGATAACGTACTGTTCGATTCGAGCTTCGTATCAAGCACGAGTCGGAAGTTCTTCAACACCTGTAAAGGGGTGTCGTTCTTCAACACCTGTAAAGGGGTGTCGTTCTTCAACACCTGTAAAGGGGTGTCCGAACAGGACACTACAAAACGCACGACTCCGACAAATCGTGAAAATTGAAGCGGGCGCGTCCGCTTCAATTTTCACGATTTGTCGGAGTCGCGGGTTTTGTAGTGTCCTGTTTAGACACCCCTTAACTCTAGTTGCTCGGGTTGCTTTGCTAGCTCCGGCAAGTGCGCTTTTTAATATGCTTGCGTACATTGCAGAGGAACACCCGTAACGTGGGCACAGCGCTTTAGCGTGCTGTGCTTTGCTGCAACGCAGATGCGTTCTGGGAGAAAGCACCTTCTGAGGGGTATTTAAAAATAAAATGTATGGCAAATTTTTAGGTAATTATGGGGCACTCAGTGAAATGTTTCGCTGGCCCCCGCGCCGTGCTGAACGCTTTAGCGGATTGTTTGCGAACCAAAGTTCACAAACAATCCCTTCTGAGCATTCCTCCTCTCCACTCCAGCTTCCTTCTCTCGGCCATTCACCTTCGAGATTCACCCAGGCTTCGCGTTTCCATGGTTGCAACCTCTCAACGAATCGGCTCCCACTTCGAGCTTAGCGGTCGCAGGGTGCGTCGCGCTTCAACCCAGGTAACTACCGAAAGAACGTTCCACGTTAGAAGCTGGGACTGTAACTCGAAGTTCGAAAGGAGACGCCGTTTGAAACGACCACGTCTAACAGGCTCTCTGCTGGAAACAGCGCATCGGCCACTGGCCGAGTATTCCCCGTATCTTCTGGCCACAGTACTTCTGACTGCAAAGTAATTTCACGTTTTCTAACCGGTAACTTGATATTGAATTTCGGTTTTCTCCACGCCGACTTAAGCGCTAGGCCTTACACGGCCCCGGACTTACGCCATCAAAGAGGCTATTGATCTCAGCGATGTGAAGGCAAAGGGGCAGTTCCGAGTGAGTCACGTTTAGATGATCACGTGCACGAACGCGCTCACGGAGGCAAAGCTGCCCGAGCGTGGAGAGCCCCAGACACTCGTGACATCAAAATGAGACTTCTGTGGCTGCCGCATCACATGGAAGACCGACGCATCATTGAGGCCCTGCAAGCCTTCGGAACAATGCGAAACATCAGCCGCGAGAAATGGCGGTTTCCTAGATTGGAACATATGGAGACTCTGAATTGAGAAGTGAACATTGCACTTCACGAAGGCGTAGCGATCGAAAGATACCACACCTTCTAAAGAACTTCGGGTGTCAGTGTTTCGTCCTTGTACCGGGACGACCACCACTGTGCATCCGATGTGACAAAAGTGGGCACGTCCGCCGCCAGTGCAAAACGCCACGATGTTTTAAATCTGAACGGTATGGGCACACAACAGACATTTGCATCACAATATATGCAACTAAACTACCAAAGACTCAAGACAATGACGACCGGTCGGAGCTGCTGACGGATGTCCGAGAGGTTGTCGACGCCTCTGGGCACTCCCCACCGGTTGCAGCGTTTGCACAAAAGAACAAAAATCTGCCGAAGAAACAGCCATTTAGTCACAGACGTCTGCGCCTAAGAAAGAAGACGATCCAGGTGGCCTCCCTGAACCAAGTCCTCCACCTGACGACGTAGAACGAGCAATCAACGTCGTCAACGTCAATATTCGTCGTCGAAGAAGTTTGAGGACAACAAGAAACAGAGCGCCATGCTATCGCAGCGCCCGTGGCCACGGCAACCGCTTCGACCGTCGAGGGATTGAAACCATCAAGTACAGCAGATTCCGTTGCTGAGGTCCGCCCAACAGGCAATGTTCCTGCTGACAAGGGACCTTTGACAAGATTTGAAAAAGAGAGGAAACAGGCGGGAGCCTGGCGTCAGCCGTACTCCAAACCACTCGGAGCCCTTAAAGGGGCGGTGCAACGATATTCAATTGGAATGTTTTTCACGTTACACGAGCTTACTGGCACTAGTGGGACTCAAGGATACTCGGACGCAACGCCACTGACCAAGAAACGCCTTTTTTTCGCTGTAATTTCGAGGACAAAACCGAGTGTTTTCATTCAATCTCTCCTTCGCAAAACCTGATGACGTAGCTGGGCGGTGGCAGTACCGCCCAGTGACGATATTTGAATGCGGCTCATAGATTGAACCCAAGCATGCCGTTGACACTCGATTTGGGCTCGTGGTAATCGATAGCTTGAGAAGCATTCGGGTACTGGCCCGTGTCCAATCACTGTAACGACGACAACAGCCGTACTATAACAGTGTCTGGAACTCAGCGCGTGTCCTGTGCTTCGCCAACCCCAGCGCGTGACTATCATCAACATCGGCGGCATAGAATCGGCTCCAGATCACGTGGCCGCTTGTTCTGGCTGCGAGTTGAGGGGGTGAAGTCTGCTCGTTTTTCTTTGTTTTTTCTGCGACTTCGATTGCGTGCGGTGAAAAACGAACGGGTATTTCACAGGTCATTAACGTCAGGGATCTGTTCTAAGCGGTATTTGCGCAAAGTACAAAAATCGTTGCATCGCCTCTCTAAAGTGATCGGGAAAAAAAAAAAAAAACAATGTGGAGTCATTGGTATGCTTTAAACCTTCTAAATGCCTTCCGCGGCAGTTCAAAAAGTTGACACCGCGGCAGTTCAAGAGACTAAGCTATCATCAGACGAGGGCATTGCCGAGGCTTTAGCGCTTATCAAAATGGATATGAAAATTGTAGCTAAGCTTGTGGCTTCTCCGACAAATGTTTTCTTCTTTTCTTTTGTAAGCAGCTATATAAATTTGTAATTTCCATTGACATTGACCTGGAAGGGCGTTTAATTTCTTGTGCTCTTATCTTTAGGAATTTAAATTGGCGGTTCATTTGTTTATATGCAACAACTACTCCAAATGCAAGATGTTTGTTTCTTTAGTTACTACTCCCATTGATTGATTCGGACAAAGCTTGAATTGTAATGGGAGATTTTAACTGCGTTTGTAGTGCAGAAGACCGAACGACGATGCCAACTATTCATGACGCCAGTGGGGCAATCCTGCAGTCTCTGCTTCAAGACAATGGCCTTATTGATTTGGCCTGTAGGAAAGACGAATCGATCCAATATGCTCACTTTCAGGGTGCCTCTCACGCACGATTGGACAGAATTTACGTATCCGGCAATTTATACCCCTTCATCGACAACTACAACGTAAAGCCGATTTTCTTTTCCGATCACTGCCTTGTGTCAGTGTAAAAACGCTCTGCGGAAATAGCGTTTTCCTCGCAAACAGTGGGAATTGCGGAAACTAAATGTAAATCTATTAGGTGATGAAGAATAGAATTTACGAGAAAGATATCCTGACTTTTGTCAGATACGCTTTGAAATACCGACATGCGCATTTTTTGCAAAATAGGATAGTTTCAAACTTGAGGCGAAATATTTAACTATCGAAAGGTCCTCAATTATAGCACATAAAAACAAACTAGCTAAGCGTTATCTTTTTAGTAAGCTAGTAAAACTACCTGAGCTTGAATGTTTAACCCCCGGTGTATATGGTGATGGCATTGATATAGTAAGAACTTAGCTTCAGAAATATGAGCGAAAGGTACAGAGGAGTCCTAAGCCGTTCCCAAAAGAAACGTGTTTTTTTTTTGTGTGTGTGTTTTTGTTATTTTTTTTTGGTTTGGAGCCTACACGGAGGTCTTTAGGCGATTAGAGGCGCCACAAATTATCAAAAGAAATTCTGCATTTTCATAAACTATTCAATTATTCTGCATTTTCATAAACTACAAAGGCTGGGCATTGGTCAAGCCCACTGGATTTGCAAAATCATTTCAGCAGTTCTATACTGAAATTTTCGGGAAATCATACCTGTAAATAATGAGTCCAACGTTGAACAAATGTTGGCGCTGGTAGCGAAACTTGACAAGGCAGACAGGGATATGTCTGAAGGCCCGATGACCGTTAATGAAATAAAAACCGCTGTAGACTCGCTTACAAACTGTACGACACCTGGACCTAATGGGCTTAACGCCGAATCCTACAAAAAAAAATATTGAGATAAACAACGTCCTATACAACTTGACATTTTTGAAGAGGCTGACGTCCAAGAAACCCTCCTTTTGTCGTGAAAATACCGTTTTAGTGCCAAAAAGAAAAGAGGCAGAAATGCTTATAAAGGTGGAAAATTATAGATCAATCTCGCGCTGTAACGTGGATTACAAAATAGCTGCTAAAGTATTGAATGGATGGTTACAGCTAATTATGGAGAAACTAATACGTGAGCACAATACTTGTGGAATACGTGGCAGAA